CGATTGGATCGAAAAGATCGAGGGGATGGAAAGACAGCAAATTTCCGAAAAAGTAAAGATCGCGGGCGCATCGAGATTCCGTTGGGGATTAAAAAAAATATTTAATTAAAAAAAATCATTTAAATTATCGGTCGAATGTTGCAGAAAGCGAGTAGATTCGAAAATAGAAATGGTTCTTGGTGAGCTATCTCGCCGCCCAGTTTGCTTCCGCAATTTGCTTCCTATTTGATATGTCTCTAATTTTAAGCGTGTATGCTCACACACGACACAACTAACTTGTGGAGAGCAACCTTACACTGGTTATGTATTAAGGCTAGTGTAAACTAGCCGTAACACGTAACCATGCCTCCCTCGCAACAGTGAGTCGAAACTCCCCGAAAACTAAAACTGTCGCAAGGACGAAGACCAAAGGCGTTGGATTGTTTTAAAGTGTACGTCGTATTCGGCCGCACGGCCTTCAACGTGATTTCTGGTCGAAAAGATTGAAACATCGGTTACTATCTATACATAAATGCTGACATAATACCTGTACCCGCGATTCGTTGTATTGAGGCGCGCCGAAAGAAATCAAATGAAATTCGATGGAATCTCGAGGAAACGAGTTTCGAGTTATTTGAGTAGAAAAGAGAGCGCAACGACAGAAGGAACGAAGCGGAGAATTCTCTTAAAACCTGGGAATAATCCAACCCGAGTCACAATTTGAGAAAAAAAATAATGGCAAATAGGAAGTGGAAAACTAGAAGCGACACAATAGTTAATAATATCAGAAGTGGAACAGCGTTGAGGATGAACATTTGGTTTCGTTATTATTGCAAACCTTGTTTGGCAAAGTTTCGTCGCAAACAGCATTATGCAAGCGCTGTACAAAGTTTATTTAAGACCTGGTATCGGTCTTCCGCTGTATGTTCTCTCTCATTCCCATTATACTTGAATTTCGAAACTTCGCTTCGTAATGACCATGAAAGATAATATGTTGTCCAAATATTTCACAATTTCAAAGCTGTTGATGTATGGTAAGTTAGCTTTATCTAGTCAAATAAAAAAAAAAAAAAAAAAACGATAAATTAAAATTATAA